AATACTGAGTGACTAGGCAATAAAAAGGCAAATTAAATTCAGTGTAGATAAATAAATATGAGGTCATTTCTTTGAGGGGAAAATACCTAACCTCACAAAATGATGTGCTCCAAGGTGACTATTACCACTTCAGGAATGAGATCTTGGGGTTATAATAGGCAGTTCTATGAAAACATCAGCCCACTGCTCACTTGCGGTGCAAAAGCAAGAATTAGGAATTACTAGGAGAGGATCAGAGAATGAAAGAGAGAATATTATTATGTCATTGAATAAATGGATGTTTTTTTCTGTCTTGAATGCTGCATGTAGTTCTGGTTCCAACACCTCCAAAAAAGGTGGACAAAGCAGGCTAGAAATGGCACAGGCAGGGGCAGCAAGCATGAACAAAGGAATGGTACAACCAGAAGACTAAGCAGCTAAAGATTCTGCGGGTCTCATAAACAGGTAACTGAGGGGAGACAACAGCAGTCTAATGGGAAAGGTGCTGGGAAGGTGTTTGGGGATCCACTGTTCACTGCCTCTGTTGGTACATGAGCCAAGGAGTTACACGGGTTCAAAAAATGATTAGATAATAAATCATAAGAAAGAAATTCCACCAAGAGCTTTGAAATGCTAAGACTTTGACTCAGGAAATCCCTGAATTCAGGTGCTGGAGGCAGGTAGAGCACCGTGAGGAAAAATTAGTTTCTTATGCCCTTGCACTTTTGTAGTATATACAGACAACTGTGAGAGAAGACACTAGACTAGATAGGCCTGTGGTTTGGCTTGGGACACATGGTTCAAGTTGCTTTGCTCAATCTTAGACTTAGGTATCCACTGAAAAACATATACATTGGTATTATCCTACTCATCCATGGAACATTTATATGCCTTTCTTTTGTTTTGCCTGCTTTTACCTTTTCTGTAACTTGCAACTTCATAGCAAAGAAAAAAGTAATGAAAAATGTCTAATAAAAAAATCACAGCAGAACTGAAGCGCTTGTTTAACTTCTGTAGGAAAGAGTCTTAATAAATGTCTTTATTTGTGAGTTTCCTTGCAAGCTTTAGATGCCAGGTATTAAAAAGCAATAATACTTCATCTCTAACACCTTCACTAAGTGCCTTTGCTCACAAAGCTGTTCAAATTAGGTAAGCATACATACAAGAATGTATGATTCTGAAATGTCAGAAGGGGAGGCTAGAGAATCACAGAATTGTAGGGGCTGGAAGGGACCTCTAGACATAATGGAGTCCAACCGCCCTGCCAAAGCCCTACACCAGGTTGTACAGGTAGGCATCGAGTTGGCTCTTGAATGTCTCCATAGAAGGAGACTCCACAACCCCTCTGGGCAGCCTGTTCCAGTGCTCTGTCACCTCCACTGTGAATAAGTTCTTACACTTGTGCAGAACTTCCTATGCTTCAGTTTCCCCTTGTCCTATTGCCACTTGTCCTATTGCCACACACCACTGATAAGAATCTGGCCTCATCACTTTGCCTCCCATATCTTAGATATTTATAGACAATGATCTGTCTGACTTTTCCCCATGCTGAACAGACCCAGGCCACTCAGCTTTCCTATAAGAGAGGTGCTCCAGGCTCTTTATCATCTCTGTGGCCCTCTGCTGGACTCTCTCCAGGAGATCCCTTTCTTTTTTTGTACCAGGGAGCCCAGAACTGGACACAGTATCCCAGGTGAGGCCTCACCAAGACAGAGTAGAAGGGTAGGATCACCTCCCTTGACCTGCAGGCATCCCTGGATACCATTGGCCTTCTTGGCCACCAGGGCAAGATGAGGTTGTCAACTGGCTCTCAACATACGTTTCCCCTTGCCTTAGCAGACTCTGTTCCCTTCTTTAGAATAGCCTGCCTTTAAATACTGTAATGCCACTCTCAGGTCTCCTCAGAGTTTTCTCCAGGCAAAACAGCCCCAGCTCTCACAGCCTGTCCTTGCAGGGGTTCCATCTCTTGGATCATTTTTGCGGCCCTCCTCTGGACACAGGGAGAATCACCTCCCTCGTCCTGCTGGCCACCCTTCTTTTGATGCAGCCCAAGATACAGTTGGCTTTCTGAGCTGTGAGGACACATTGCTTGTGCCCTCTTCACTTGCCCTTCATCAGTACTCCCAAGTTCTTTTTTGCAGGGCTGTGCTCTATCCTTTCATCCCCCAGCTTGCAATCATAGTGTGGGCTGCCACAACCCAGGTGCAAGACCTCGCACTTGGCTTTGTTGAACCTCATGAACCTCACCTGAGCCTGTCTAGGTCCTTGTGGATGGCATCCCATCCCTTGGGCATGCTGACCGCACCTCACAGCTTGGCGTTATCTGCAAACTTGCTGAGGGTGCACTAGATCCAATTCTCAATGTTACTGATGAAGATATTAAAGTGCATCCGTCCCAGTACTGACCTCTGAGGGACATCACTTGTCACTGATGTCCATCCACACACTGAGCCACTGACCATTACTCTCTGGGTACAATCTTGCAACCAGTTTCTCATCCATCAAACAGATGATATATTGTGTACCCTGACAGCCATTAAGCACATAGAGCAAAATAAACAATACAAGCAATGGCAAAAGCATTAAGGAGTCTAATGTATGTTGTCCTCACATACACATAGGAAATTCCTTTTGTTCTTGGATTTTTCTGCTTAATCATGTTATAGACATGATAAAATGAAGACAAGGATTCAGAATGCACGTGCCTAAGATACTGTGCATCTTTTCCTTAATTAAAAAACCACCTCTTCAAAACAAGAGCCATATCATGCTGACGATTCACAATGACTCATGCAGTTGCAAATGTGATCAAAATGTTTCTTTTAAAGAAATATGATCCTAAGCTATTATTTGTAACCCTAAATGAAGCATGACCCCATGTTGAAAAAGAATTTCTAGGGAGACTTCAATTTCATGAAGTATTACTACATGATCTAACTGAATATTAATACTACTAAGGTACAAAATAGCAAGCAAAATCAAAGCCACTCCCACCCACTTGTTTATTTTACTACTTCAGGTTCAGTTTTGTTTCTGTACAATGCATATGTCATACACATGTAACTGACACTACATCGTTACTTGTGAGATAAGCATCTAAAGCTTGCTATTGCTACTTACTTACACTCCCAAAACTGTAAAACAACAGAAGCCAATCAGATAGCTTATAGGAAAGCTATCAGAACTCATTAAAATTCCTCTGTGCTGCACATTTTGTTCCATGTCATATCCATGTCTTAATTCCATAGCTTTCTTCTCCAAAGCAAGCAACCTAAACCAATGCAGATTTTCTTTCCTTTTGAGTAAACTTCTTTGGTGTAACACAGAACACTCAGGCCAATGCTAAATTAAGTTACAACATTCAGCAAACAACAAAATAATTCTCTATGAATAGCCACTATTATTACAGTTCTTCCAGGGCATTCCCATACGAACAGGGAATGATGGCCAATAGTCACGTGGCTATAAAGGCATTCCCCTATTATTTAAATTTTGGAATTCAGTAGTCTGAAAAATGATTCTGCTACTGATCTACAACTCCTTTTATTGATTTTTAATGCCAAGAGCACATCTACCAGCTTCAGAGACTATGAGAATTCCATGTCATTTTGCCTGAAAACATATCTTCAGTGTCCCATCTGAACACATGCAGCATGGCGTACCCTGGTTGGACTTCTGGCCAGCTGCATGAAGTGGTTTCTAAACATTGTTATTCGCCTGTGCAGAAATATAGTAAATAAATCAGATTAATTTTTATCTACCTACACCAGCTTCTAGTGGCATAGAACAGTAGAACCCCGTAAGTAAAATACTATTATCCCTAATGTCGGTAAGTATAAGATAGCTGGAAATTGTGCTGTCCTACTGCATACAGGACACGAACAGAAGAGGCTGAGGATGCACCAAACCAGTATATATTCGTGCCATCTTTTACAGGTGGAGCAGTAGCTGAAAGCAAAAGTCCTTAACAGAGCAGAGGAGACATTCAGTGGTGCAAAGATGGAACACTTTGCTCTGCCTGCAGCCAACTGACATGACTACGTGCAATTAAGAACACTGTATTGGGATGTGTGTTATTGAACAGACAGAGTAGCCACCAACATCACATAGGATTCCCAATGCAGAGAAGATGAACCCAACCTCAATCTCACTGGCAGGGAGAGAAAATTTACTGATCTCAAGTGTCTGCAGATCATCCCCCAGGTGACGAGAAACTGCACAGAAACTCAAATAACAAAAACAAATAACAAAAATACATAGAACACACATAGAAACAGAGAGAGAGATGGATAAAGCTGTCTCACACAAACCAGAAATTTCCACTAAGCCTCATGAAGTAGGTGGCAAGAAGCTGCTCAGGAAACGACTCAGAACAATTATTGCTCAGAAAATGAAATGAATGTAGGTCAGTTTGGGGGACTGAAAAGTGACTGTGAGCCCATTCGGGAGACATTTTGCTCTGCCTTCCTAACAGCAACCCCTGAACTTCTCCTTTTCAGGAATCTATCAGGAAGAGAAGCAGAAGGCATACTTTGACTTTAGACTTTCCCCCCCCCCAGATTATTCAAGAATTGATCTTTTCTATCTCACTGAAACCGATTTTATTGCTATCCCAACTCCAGAGACCATTCATTCCATCCTCCTTCCCTGCCTTCCCACTGCACACAAACTGCCACATCCCCACCAACTCAGAATGAAAGCAATGCTGAAGATGCGAGAAGGGATGTCCTGGTGTTCCCCCTCCTTTTTATCACGCGCCTTCCTCTGGGAGACTCTGGATGTGATGGGGAAAGTCAAACGAAGTCAGGCAACCAGCAAAGGAGATGAGATTTTTGTACACTCTGAATGTACAGAGAGACGTAAGCCTCGTAAATGGGGGGGCAGGACCCAACCTCATCCTCAGGCACGCGGACTCCAATTCCAGCCTCACCCCGAGCTCTCGCTCCGTCCCGAGCCCGGCGCTAACCCCACCGGGCTCAGCCACCCCCACCTGCCGCTCCCACGTCCATTTTCTCCCGACCTCAGCAGCAGACCAAGCGCCGGAGCACGGGGCCGGCGGCGCTGCGGGCAGGCCGGGGCCGAGGGGCCGCCCGGGGCCACGGGGCAGCGCCGGGGTCAGAGCCGCCCGCCCGCCCTTCCAGTCCGGATCCACCGCCCCGCCGCGAGTCCCGGGCCGTGACGGGCGGCGCGGAGCCCCCCGGGCCGGGGCCGCTGCCCCACTCACCCGAGGTCAGCTGCATCCAGGCACAGATCTTGTAGACGGTGGCCGTGTTGCAGAAGAAGAAGAGGATGAAGCAGACGATGCAGGCGATGATGAGCATCATCGAGAGCCCGATGAAGAAGGAGGCAGCTTTGAAGGCTCCCGAGGGCAGGCTGGAGAAGTCCGTGAAGCTGCCCCGGCAGGTGAGTTCCCGGCTGAAGCCGTTGCCGATGCAGTAGTGGAAGAGCCCGAAGTAGCCCGCCTGCGGCGTGTCCACGCCGTCTCCGATCCAGTAGGGCTGGATGAAGCACACCACGTTGACGATGGCAAAGCAGATGGTGAAGATGGCCCAGAGCACGCCGATGGCCCGCGAGTTCCGCACGTAGTTGGTGTGGTAGATCTTGGCCGCCTCCTGAGCCGGGAGCATCCCCGCTGCTGCCGCTCCCGCCGAGCCCGCTCCCGTCGCCGCCGTCCCTGCAGCCGCTCCGGGCATCCTCGCCGAGAAGCTCCCCCCTCCCCTTCCTCCTCCTCCTCCTCCTCCTCCTCCGCCCCGCTCACTCCTCTCGACGCGACGCGCTCCGCCGCTGCGTGCGAGAGCCGAGCAGCCCCTCCGCCGGGCTTCCGCGGCGCCGCGCCACCACCGCCACCGCCGCCGGCAGCGCGGCCCGCCGCCTCCTACCGGGGCTCGGGGCTCGGCGCCGCCGGCCGCCGCGCGCCGCCCTCCCCGCAGCCCGCCCTCCCGCCGCCGCCCGCAGCTCCTCGGCGCGCCGGGCGCCAACGGCCGAGCGCCGCGGGGCCGCCGGAGCCCCTCCGCCCTGCGCAACCGCGGCTCCTGGGGCGGGAGGACGGCCGGCGGGGGGTGCTCGCGGCGGCTGCCGGCTCTGGGGACGGGCCGCCCGGGCGGGGGGCACCCGGCGCTGCTCACGCCGCGCGTCCCGGGGGGACGCGTTCAGGCAACACCTTGAAGTTTAAAACCTCCGCGGCGCCGCTCGCTTGGCTGCGGCGGGGTGAGCAGGGGCACGGGTGGGCTCGGCTCGCGCCTAAATCAGCCCCCAGCCAGGCTGAGGTGCAGTCAGCCCCGCGAGAGCATCGAGGGTTGCTTCTCGCCGCACGAGGAGCCCATCGCAGCGCACGTGGACCAGAAGTGCCCTAAAGCGGCGGCGGTGCGGGGCTGCCGCTCCTGGGGGCATCGGCGAGGAGCCGGAGGTGACGCCGCGCCGAAAAGCCGCTCAGCCGCTCGAGCGACTTGGGCCTGGCACGCTGCGCCCCGAACGTTTTGGCATGCAGCAGTAATTAGCATATATTAATGAGCAATTAGCATCTGGTAATAATCATTCATACTCCAGTGACACTTGGATTCTCAGTCCCCGACCTATGCATTGAGCTCGAGTTAATAATAATAATTGATGGTGCATATATAGAGCTCTTTGAAGATTGCTCCCCTCGGGAAGCGCCGCAGCCGGAGCGCCGGGGACGCAGGGAGCGGCTGAGTGGGGCTGTGCGGGCCCGGAGCCGGCAGAGGGCTGCACACAATTAAATATTAGTGCTGATCGGTCCTCAAAGTGCGGGAATTGTTCCCCTCGACCGGTACAGTTTTGCTGCTCCTTCAGACAAAGTTTGACTTTTCAGTCAGTTGGCAGAAAAAAATGGGCAAGTTGAATAAAGTATGGGCTGTGTATGACTGGACTGTTCAGATGATGCGTTCGAAAGGCAGCTGAGCTCATTCCAGCCTCACACCACAGGAGGATCTTTCCCCCTCTCAGTGCTTGTCCTCTTTCTGCAGGCCGAGGGCCTGCTGGGCCCCAGGATGCAGCAGAGGACACCTGGTATCTCAGTGCTGTAAGGAGCTGTCAGGAAGTGGAGAGGATTAGAGCCAGGCCTGAGGTTGTCCATGGAAAGCTGCATGGAATAGAAGGATGCGGGGAAGTTAGCTGACAGCTGGCTGAACATGAGCCAGCAGTGTGCCCAGGTGGCCAAGAAGGCCAGTGGCATCCTGGCTTGTATCAGAAATAGTGTGGTCAGCAGGGTCAGGGAGGTGAAAAATTCTTCTCAGGAGAGTGGTAAGGCACTGGCACACACTGCCCAGCGAGGTGGTGGAGTCACCATCCCTAGAGGTATTCAAGAAAAGGGTAGATGTGCCACTTGAGGGACTTGGGGATGGGTTGATGGTTGGGCTAGAAAATCTTAGCGGTCTTTTCCGACTTTAATGATTCTATGATTCTAGGACAAACAGTTCAGGAATAGAGGTCAGAGAGGGCTGGGCAGGCTGTTCTAGGAGCTCCGAAGGAAAGGAGGTTGTGAGAGGTGTGAGTGGAGTGAAAGGGCTGGGGTTAGTTGTCCTGTGTGTGCACACAAAGGTGAAACCTGGAATCCGCATGGAGGAACGAAGAGATATGGAGCTGGGAAGGAGCCAGGAGAGGAGAAGTGCTCTGCAGAATAAATGGATGAAGGAAAATGGGGAGTTGGAAATACTGAGACTGGAGGAGAAGTTGGAGAAAAAGAGTCAGGTGAGAGTACCGAGAGAAACATGGGAGCCTGTCTGAGCAGAAAGCAGGGGAAGAGGATAGGACTGTGCTGATATGCTGAATGTTAGGGTGAGAAAGGAGGTAAGATTATGTGCATCCAGGCAGTGGCCATTCTTTGTGTCCTAGGACATCAGGGTGTCCTTCTCTGCTCTCTAGCACCAAAAAAATGATACTTACAGTTTAGTGCATCTGAATGATAACATGGTACCAGGTGCTATTCTGGAGGCACCTGAGTCACTCCAAATGTGTCCTGCACCAGAACTTTGTATCCCCACTGTTGTTTAATATTAGAAATTTCTCCACCCCCTTCTAGTCTCATCTCCCTACAGTGTTGATCTCTATAGAATAGTAAATTATAAATCTTTCATCAGTTACTTCAGGAGTTTGAACAGCAGAATCCTCTATGTTGGATTCAAAAGTTCCTTCCAAGATAATTAACCCAGTGGTATCAATATTCTGTCACACAAAGAATAGTGCTTGTGTTTTTGCAAATGACAACTGGAAATATGAACACAACTGCAGAAGTGCTTGATCAAGATTCAAAACCAAAGGTTAAGAAAACCCAGGAAAAAGATTATCTGTGCAGTCATTAATTGGTTCTTTCGTATTTGTTTACTATGATATACTTTCTAATAACATAATTGCTTTTCTACCATCATCCTTGCTCACTTGTTTCACAGCACTGGCAGTCGCTACTTGATGAGAACCCTCTCCTGAGTTTTTTTTCTCTCCCTGTTCAATGTGCAGCCCAGATCTGCTTTTATGCACATGGTGTTTGCAACTGCAGACAGGCTTAGGATGCTTTTTATGGTTCTTACCACAATTATATGAGTACTTCACGGTTTTGGAAAACATCATGTCTCTATGAGATAGGATACTTAGGATGCTGGTATATTCTGGACAGAACAGTTAAGGTAAAAGACAGCTGAGAATTCATTTCTCAAAGCAGAGCTCCCATGGATTTTGTTTGTAGCTCTTCTCCAAATGAGGCCTCAATAGGAGCCACACTGAGCTGCTGCTCATCTAGAAAAGGCTTTAAGCATCTTGCCTGCCAATGCACACATCCTGTCTGTGGCAGGAGCACAGACTGTCTCAAGCTCTTCACAACAGCATTCATCATCTTAATCTTCAGAAGATTATCCTTTCTCTCCAACAACCCTGTTCATACTTTCACTATTTTTTCTGCCTGAAAATTATCTGGGTCCCAGCTCTGTGGCTGCCATCTAGTTTCATCTAAAAAAAGTCTTAAACTATGTTAGCTATGCTTTTCACCAAAAGCTTCTTCAAAAGGTGAAGCAGGATTCTCATCAACGTGATCCTTCTTGACAGCAGACACAGTGTCACACACCAAATAAGGCAGGATCCTGTTTACAAATTAGCAAATGAGCATGCAACACACAGCAAAGGGAATGTGAATCATGTGGCATGGACAGCTCTTTTTTTGGCACATCCCATTGAGTACCAGATTTGACAACAATAATTCTATTTATAGAAATGCATGTGTATGTGTGATTATAAAATGTGTGAGCTTAAAGAGAATTTATACAATCTTTGTAGACCGTACTTGTAATCATTTTATCAAATCAGAATGTGCTGATTTTTATGCGTGTAGATCATTACAAAAGCAAAAAATAAAGGATATTATTTGCTTTGTGTCTCCAATAAACTACTTGCAGCATCTCTATTTGGAACTTGTTAAGTATTTCCTGTGGTAGAGCACTGGAAGAGAAGCTTAGGCATTCTATGTGTCCGGAGGACTTAGTGCAAGGACTGCATTTTGTGCTGGGGACAACTTTTGATATGATACGTAAGAACTATAGACGGGTGCTGCTGCTGGACCAGAGGTCATATCTGGGAAGAAATGCATGTACAATCACAGCATCAGAAATATAGAAGGGCTTAATTTGTAAAGAACCTCAAAGATCATCTAGTTTCTGCCACAGGCAGGGCTGCCCACTGCTAGATGAAGCACTACATTAGATTGCTCAGGACCCCATCCAAGCTGGCCTCCTTGGTCACCTCCAGGGACAGGGCATCCACAGCTTCTCTGGGCAGCCTGTGCCAGCCCTTCACCACAATCTGCGAAAATTTTCCCCTTGACATATTATCTCAGTCTCCTCTCCTTTAGTTTACAACCATTCCTCCTTTCCTATCGCTATCTATTCCTGTAAAATTTGATTTCCCTTCTGCTTATAATCTCTTTTTAAATACTGAAAGGCTACAGTGAGGTCTCCCCACAGCCTTTTCTTCTCCAGAGTGAACTTCCTCAGCCTATCTTCGTAGGAGCCCTCCAGTCATCTTCATGGCTCTCCTCAGGATTCTTTCCAACAGCTCCGCATCCTTCCTGTACTGGAGGCCCCAGGCCTGGACGCAGTACTCCAGATGGGGCCTCACAAAGGCAAAGCAGAGGGGGATAGTCACCTCCCTCTCCCTGCTTACCACCTCTCTTTTGATGCAGCCCAGATTTGTGCTGGCTCATGTTAAGTCTTTCATCTATCAGAGCCTCCAAGTCCTTCTCCACGGGGCTTCTCTCAAGGAGTTCTTCTTCCAGTCTGTATACGTATCAGGGAATGCCCTGACTTAAGTGCAAGACCTCACACTTTGCCTTGTTGAACCTCATTAACTTTACATGGGCCCACCTCTCATGCTTGTCAAGGTCCCTTTGGACCATGCTACGTTAAGCGTTTATGGGGCTTGATTATATTGTGACTGGTTGCCAGCGCTGGTAACACCACAAAACACACGTCCCACACTGTGGTGAAGAACCAACTGCAGCAGTGGCTGGTGACAACCCTGAGCAGCAGTGTGGGCCGTGGGCCTGGCAGCAGCCATGCTGCAGAGGGGAGCAGCAGGCCCAGCGGGTGGCCCTGTAGCCATGGCAACCCAGAGTCTCGCCACTGTCGAGCCTCTGCTGTCGATCAAGAAGCATTAACTTTCACATTATGTCTTTTTTATTACTGCTTCTGCACATTTTGTCTTCCATCCCTCCAGGGGCCTGACTGTGCTGGTGAAATGTTCCTTCTCAGGGAGCAGGGAGCAGCATTTCTTTCTATTTCTGTAGTGTTTGC